TCACCTCAAAATCATTTGAAAAAGGTGCCAAATATCTGATGGGAGATTTCATGCGAGAAACATAAGCTACTGGTGCCAACCCAACCATGATTTTCACATTTTTTGCTGCCTGCTGTTTTAGTGAAGCAAATACGAAGAACATTGTGGTGCCCATTGAGTGACCCACGTAGATGATTTCTCCAGGTTTGTTTGTCGAATTGCTAATATAATACATAGCAGCTGGTAAATCTTTAGTACCCATTTCGTTGAAACTGAAAATTCAATGAATATATCAAAAGTTTACTCGTTTTTTTTATATCTCACCTGAAATTCCAGAAATTTGAATCTGTTACAGGAATCGAAATGTGTCCTTTCGAATAAACATTACCTCTTGCATTCCCCAACCATACATCATAACCCTTATCGGCAAGCAGAAAACCTAAAACAAAGTGGAAATATACGAAAAATAAGGGCTACGTACATTTGATTAGCGATTTTTTTATGTTGGTACAGGCGTCTCGATCATATGTTCACAGTTTCACCTGCTAAACATATTTAGTTTGTTGGTGAAAGGCATAAAAGTTGAATTTGCATCAAATTTTGTGGTAGAAATGTTGACAGTGGCATATGGTGATTGTACTCTGAGTCAGACAAATGTGATAGAAGCTTTTCACAGGTCGAGAAGATGTGTATGACGACGCTTGCTGTGAACGTCCCAGCACCCAAAAATAACACCATAATCATGCCTCAGCTACCGTATTTACCAGATTTGACCCCCTGTGACTTTTTCCTCTTCCCAAGATCGAAGAGACCCATGAAAGGACGACGTTTTGCGACGATTGAGGAGATATAAACTGAATTACTGAGAGAGCTCAAGGACATACCAAAAAGTGCAAATCATAACTACTTCGAGGATTGGAAAAAATGCTGGCACAAGTGTATTACATCTGAAGGGGAAAACTTTAAAGGGGACAAAATAGAAATTGATGAATAAACAAATATTTTTTGATAAAAATGAAAATCACCTATATTTTAAACAGACCTCGTATAGTATCAAGTGTCAAATAATTTTTGGATGTCATATAATTCCTAGTTTGGCATTGGTAAGACATTTCACCAACCTAGAGATTTATTTCCGTTGATAACAAAATCCGCACTACTACCCAAAAGGCCGTGTTGAAGAAAAACAGGTTGTCCATTTCTGCTTCCACTTCTTGAACCCGGAATTCTGTGTATTTTCAATAGATATCCGTCTTCTGTGACTACCACATGCGTTTCTGACGGATAACCATGTCTGGCAATTATTTGGGGCTAAAACAGAATTTTCAATTTTAGTATTCTCAAAAACGTTGCAATCATATTTTGACTAATCGTTACGTTATATTTAAAACTTATATATTCTCATAACCAAAGTCTCATCACTGAATTCGGTATCAACTGAGTTGGTCACAATAGTACTATTATTTTTGGTTCGATATTGTTTTGAGCTTATTTGAAAAAACATTTTTTGTACTTTTTAGTTCGATGTTCTTTAAAATCGTGTTTTTTAGTCTTTTTAAACTATATTTATTTTATCTGAACTTTGGGATCAGCCGTATTAGAAAAATGACCATTGATATTTTCGTACAGCGCNATAATGTATGTGATTGTGCTGAGTTTTGAACATAAAGTGGTGATATGGTTTTCCCATGAAAGTTTCCTATCAAGCACAACACCTAAGAACTTCATACTCTCTTTGCTTTCTATCGATTTTCCATTGACTGTTAAGTAGAGATCATTATCAGGATTCATATTTTTTGGTAAGAATCGAATATGATAGGTCTTAGCGGTGTTTAGTGCTAGTCCATTTTTACTACAATAGTCACTGATTTCCTTTGATGCCTTATTACCATTCTTTACTAGTTGTTCATTATTTGTTCTGGACATTAAAATATTCGTATCATCTGCATAGAGAATGTAGTATACAATTTGAATGTATTTTCAAATTGTTTTGTGTGACTCCATTTTCTCTTTAACAAAATAAGATGTTAGTGAAATATACTTAATTTCCTCGAAATTTATAAAAATGCTTTAACAAGATTCAATCTCAGAAGCCCGATGCTTACTCGTCGAGCTATAGTCATTAGCCACATGTCGACGCGGTGGTCCACTGCTGCTTCGACGCGACGCGACGGCAGGTGTTTGGCGAAGACGCGGAGGAAGAGAGAGAGTTTATTTTTAATGTCTCTCGATTTTAATCGCAGCCGCATCCCGCGACCTGGTGCAAGGTGCATCGGGCTACTACGACGTAGAGCACCTCTACCTGCCTTATGCTTCGTCTGCCACCTGCTCTCTAATTACCGACGGCCTTTCTACCTTTGACTTGAACCCCAACAACGAAAGGAACGTCCAGGAGTCACGAAGTTAGAAGAGTAAGCGTCGTTAACAGTCTATGAACTAAAATAGTAAAAAAACATTAAAGAAATCTCTGCTTTCTATGTGATATACTGATGGACCCTATAATAAATATACCACAACATCTAAAGCTTTCAATGCATAACTATTACTCAAACGGTATCAACACACCGAATCATATTTCAATATTTGAAAATACAGGGTGTAACTAAATAAGTGTAAAACATTTAAGGAGGTGATTCCTCATTTAAAATAAGATAGGATCTTTCATATAAAGAAACTTCATTGGAGCATCCCTTGTTAAGATACAGCCTCTTAAAGGGGGTACATAAAATGTGTATAACAATTTTTTTCACAAGCACTAAAATAGTTACAATATTGAAATTGACCTAACGTTTTGTACTATGCACCCGTAAAGCCAACTGTTGCTTCTTATTGAAATTAATTGAACGTCTTGCAGAAACCGTAAACCGATATGTCGTAGAAATTGCACCCGAGCATGACGTCGACAACGGAAAGCTCCTTCTGACCCATTTGTTAGCAAGTCTTCGTGGGGTTGTTGTCTTTTCTTTCGTGGTCATAAAGAAGACTCTCTTCGATAGTTGCACCTTTTTCAATCAATTATCCTCTTCTATTCTTTCCTCATTCTCGGCTATTAGCGTTAATAAGGCCTGACGAAACAGGTGGCTGGAATATTCGTTGGAGAAAACACAATTATAATAAAAACTATGGCCAACTGGTGCGCGGGGTGAATTTTGTTATAGTTGGTAATGACGCAGGTGAATAAAACTTTGGATTTTTTAACGCTGACATATTGCTGTACGGTAACATGTGTTCGATAAGCGTACTTTTCATAGGTAGAGCGTAATTTACTGGGCCTTATAATAACTGAAAGCCTTAATTTTATTATGTTGAGCTTTTTGGGATCAGGTAGCAATGTATAAGCTAGGATAAACATGGGTATTGTGAGCCTATTTCAAATCGCAATACTTGCCATTCGAACTGTATAATATACCTACCTGAATATTTTTTCTATTATGTCTAAAGCTGGGGTGCTGGTTTCTATTATTATTTCACTTGTGCTGTCTATTATAGTGGTACCTTATTCTCAAAAGGTGAGAATTTGCTGATTCCCACGATTGCCAAATAGACTGGGCAGATTGTGCAAAGTGTGAGAATTTCTCTGCTCTTGAGTTTAAATTTTTCAATAAAAAAATGATTTTATACCTAGTATGTTTTGTGTTACACAAATAATTGCATTGATTCACACACAAGTTTATTAGTTATTTCTTTTTCATTATCATCTATTTTGTGTTACTTTTCAATAGTGTAATCAATATTTTTCGAAGATAAACGCTTTATAATATATTCAATGCCGTAATAAAACGAAATATGCGCGTTTGTCACGAAAGTATCATGTTTTCTATGATAACATTTCACGGTTGTTAAGATACTGCAAATGGCTTCCTGTGTGAAAACTCATTGTACCCTATTTTCCCGTTCTTTTCGCGCATTAAACGCACTTTTCATTATCGATATCAGAAACTCCTCAACCATCACGCCACAATCAGAAGTTTAATGTTCTAGATAGCGTAATGTTTATGAATTATAATAGATACAATGTATAGGAATGCTCGAGAGAGGCGACAAAAAATATACTATCGCAAGCAGCTTTCTTTGTGGTCTAACTCGAACAGCATTACCAATACGAGTGTGTGGAACTGAAGGACTTTTCATCACATTTTTTTCTGTCCGCAGCCATATTTTTCGTACTGTTTTTGTGTAAACAAACGTGTTGAAATGTCCAAGTACAAATAGTAAAAAATATTAAATGAATCACATTTGATCCGAAAAAGTTAAAAGAAAAATAAGTGTTCTGTTGGAAAAAAACTAAATGATTATTATGATGGTACCTGATGTCTGAAGACGAACAACAGAGTCGTGCTGTTATGGAGTTTCAAATGATATAACACTTAAGTCATTAGAAACCCTATTATTTTATAAACTTCACAAAACATTGCTTTGAATATCTGTGAAAAACTATTAACTAATCAAGTAGTTCGAGTTTATATTAAACATGTTCGAAATGCATGAAATTCGAGTTAAGAGTGAAAAGAATCAGCCGAAGTAACAATATCTGAAACCAGCAAATTGTACACGAGGAGTTGAGACAGTAGTATACTTGGGCTGTTCAAAAAATAAGGTGAATTTTCAAATTTCGCGGGCATAGTACATTCGATTAGCGATTTTTTTATGTTGGTACACTCGTTTCGAACACATGTTCGCAGTTTCAGTTCATTAGCATGTGAGAGGCATAAAAGTTAGAAGTGTTTTGCTTGTTCGACGATTTTCTGCTATCGAAAAGAATGGATGAAAGAATGTGCAACAAATTTTGTGTAAAAAATGTTTGAAGTAAAAAAGATTTAACCATTTGACAAAAAAATCTTTGAGATGATATATCTGATCATAATAATTTTAGGAAATCAATCCAATTACAGTCTTCAAGAGTATCTTGATGATAAAATATAAATAGTAGGAATACTTGAATTCCCAAGAACTTTGCAACTCAGTGGCTTTTTTACTTTTCTGGCATAGTAATAACTAAAATTGTTAAACTTCATCTTAGCCTTCTAAGCTTATATTAAACTCTGCATATAATTCCACAAATGTAATACATATTATAAATGGTATATGATTTGGGAGTTGTGGAACAAACTTTTTTATACAAGGATATAGTACTATTATAGTTATTTTTATGTGAGAACATGCGCTCTGTATTTTTTGAAAATCAACGTTTCATCACCATCTCAGCTGTCATTCTCAAAATGAGATACTTCTCCCTATGAATGTAACTATCAGTGACGACATCTGTCTTTCATCCGTGAACCAGCTGTCTTGGACAGTAAAATATATGCATCTATGTTATTGGGATGCTGCCGCATGAATATTTGAACCGTTTAGTAAACAACAACTGGCCAGCTCGTACCTTAATTAATATGCATTCTAATTCAAAGTATTTAGCAGCATTTCCTCAAAGACAATTCGCTAATTCCTGATATTTTTTCCAGAACCGAGCTTGATCCAAACGGCCCCTTCGGTCATCGCTGCGTCCTGCCTGTGTTCTGCAGTACGAGGCTTGAAGCTGCCCTCGACGAACCAAGCTATCAGTGACATCTGTGGCATCTTGAACGTCAACCCTTCTTCAATCGAATATCTGGTCACGGTAATCGATGATGCAGTGGCCAAAGTGTCTACCGCCAAGACGGGAACGAAGCCAGCCCAGGGGTACGAATGTCCGCAGTATGGACAGCCCGAGACGCCGACGGAAGTAGAGGTCATCTACTTCTAATCGTTGCGCTTGTATACTTAGTTATCGTTTTGCTGGAAGAGCGATTTTGTTTGTGTTATTTATTTTTTAAATTGTTTTATCGATGAAGTTTGATGTGTTAAAACTGTATAACCAAAAATTTTTTTTGAAGAATCTCTGATCTCTCACGTACCAGTTAAATTCGTAGTTTAGGGTTTATATCCTTGATTTCATCAAGATGTAAATTATTGATCTCAAATATTATTAATTTTAAATCTCACTTGGTGATGCTAAGCTGCGTGTTTTGTGCTGTCATCGTTTTTAGTATTACACATGAATCTAATTCTGTGATCCGATGAACCTCTCTTTAAATTTTTGCTAAATTGCTGTTTTCGGACAAGGAAGAAGAAAAACGTTTTTGGAATTACTTTTTAGTTGCTGGGTTTGTTATCTAGTCTCTAGCTGTCTTTTATGTTATTTTCTGCATCCTAGAATAATATAATGATTTTTCTGACTAGTTTTTCTCGTAGGCATTATGTTATTCGGGGATGATTACTTAATAAATGTAAATTATTTTAAGACCAAAGTTTGTATGAAAGTTAGTTTCTAACAATATTTATTTTTATAAAAATTGACGCCGTCAATTGACTGTACATATTTTTTTAATAAACTATATTCTAAACATTTGGATTTTAATAACAAATAGATAGATTTTGATTTCAATAAAAAATAGAAATTTCATGTAGTTTATGAAATTACTATGGATCTTCATCAAGTAACGACCAAATCCATCAGAAAAAAAAATTGAAAACAAAAACTCTCACTTTCATTTCAGAAATAACAACTTTATTTCTCTACCTAGCATAAACTAATAATCACTTGTATTGAAACTCCTTACTATTAAAATTCGGTGTAATTTTGGATGACTTTGAGCATAGGAATATATACCAGTTCTTCAGCATATTTTCCAAATACAAAGTCAACGTGGTTAAAGGAATTCCTTTTGATTTTGTATGCCCCGACCAAGTTCTTGATTTTACTTGCCAATCGAAGGACATCCTGGAAGAAAACGAAAACACTAGATTATATATATATTTTTAAATATATGGTAGCGATGTATATAGGCCCTTCTTGTTCTTAACTTTTGAACGGGACAAGATATCAAGGTCGGACGAAATTGTGTGTGATTCAATGTTTGAAAGTAGTTGTTTCGAGAGGATTTTTCCTCCCAGTTTGTGTTACTTCTTTGTATGATCTACACATCTTTGTAAAGAGTTCGTTTTGAAGTTAATTACTCCCTTCCTCTCTTTCCACATTTTTTTTTTGTATAAAGATGGAGAAGTAGAAAGCCAAAACCTTTTTTAAATTGTTTTGCGTTTTTTTAAGGTAAGAAAATGTGGGAATACCAACATTTTTTTTAAAATAAAGATGAAAAAGTAGAAATCCAAAACCTTTCTTTCCCAAAAATCAATCTGTCCTAAAAATGAAGCCTTTTGACGTAAATTTTGTCTCACCTTGATATCTTGTCTCATCTATACTGTATTTCTTAACCACCACTGTTCACCTAAAGAAATGCCAGGGATGAAAAGGTACAGAAGAATCATAAACTTTCTTACACAATTAATTTTTGAATTATACAAAAGATGAATAGATTGGAAATTTATATTAAATTTAGATTTCTTTCAACAATGCACTTGATACATTTTTTATCACAAAGTTACGTGGTATTGGGCTCGTAATAACATATCTCAATCTTGTAGGTGTACAAACTCAATTTTTGAATATATGATTTTTTCAACTTTCCACCCCATTTTCCCATTTAGTAACGGAGAATTATTCAATTCTAATTGATCATTCAGTAAATTACCTGAATTCCTGAATCTATTGATTTGTAAACATTCTAGAAGATTGAGTTTCAAACTCTTCTCTTCTAAATGTAACACATCGTATTCATGATTGATTTCATGTCCTTTTGCTGAAAGGTGGTTTGCAAATGTGGAATTGGTCTTTCTATTTACAAAACTACTTCTATGCTCTTTAATTCTTTGGTAAAATGTTCTTCCTGTTTGGCCAATATACAGTTTTGGACAAGAGCCACAATTCAGCTTATCTATCCGATACCGAAGTTTTGTCTTTATTGTTTTTAATAAATTTACTTAGATTATTATTCGTTCTGTAAGCTAAGTTTACGCCTTCTTTCATCAAAAACGGGCAATATTCATGGTTGGTTCACCCAAATATGCCAATGTCCTATAAATGACGTTATCGCATCTTGAATATGGGTAGACCAGGTCCATGGCTTGCTTTTGTAGATTTTTGGAAAGAATGGCGTTTATAATATCTACCTTATAACCGTTATAACCCGCGATTTGTTTGATCAAATTCAGCTCTTTCTGTAAATCTCTATCAGACATTGGAATATTCAATAATCTGTGAAGCATACCTACTATTGAATGCAGCAACTTTATGCTGGTTGTGTAGAGGAATTATGTATGATAATGTCCGTATACGATGATTTGTGGAAAATTGCAAATTCATATTTATTGTTATTTTTCGTAATGGTTAAGTCAAGGTAATTTATTGAATTATTTACCTCTCTCTCGGTGGTGAATTTTATTGACGGGTGGTAAAAAATCAGGTACTTGAAATTCAGGTACTTCAAATTGTAGAATGAGGTATATATATAGCATTGAATATGTAGAATTAGTTTTTAAGACACCCCCGAGGAAGCCATTGTATGGCGAAACACGTGTTGCGTTTTTGTAAAACTGTTTAGTGAAAATCACACAGGAAAGTCACTAAATATCATCACCAGTTGACAAATTGCTACTAGCATTTACACAATAGCTCCCAATCAACTAACTACCCAGATCGTTCGAAGCTAATCGTGATGGTCTATGTTTATTGTGGTATATTATTAAGATCGAGGAAGCTGCATAAGATCCCGATAATCTTACCTGAGGTCCTTGGTCAACAAAGGACGACTTTTCATCGAAAGTGAATGAAGCGCGCGGGCGTCTCCAGACCATCTGACGCTCGCCAATAAATCTCTTCTCGCGTGTCTTTGTATCCGTCTGAGGGTCATCGGAACAATCGGTCGCGCATCTCCAGACGGTATTGTTCCTCCAGGATTCCTGCAGCAGTAGCATCTCGGAGCGGGTCTCGTGCGCCCCGACCAGGTGCAAGAAAGGAACCCCGTCGGAGCATTGTTCGCCGATGAAAGGCCCAGGCAAAAAGTCTTTACGAAATGCATTCGGCCTTTGTGCGATTATCGCAAGACGTCTAATCGAAGGGAAAAAACTCGGGGTCGTTTACTTTTACTACCCCTCGACCGGTAGAGAAACTTCAATTGTGCGCCGCGAGGACAGGATATTTTTCTAAGGGTGGCTCTGCGAGCTGGTTCGCCACCCTTGAAAAAAGTCTACCGTTAATGTTTTCGTCTTCGTTTTTCGTGCATATGTCGTTTTGTTTGCCGTTAGATTATCTCTAGATATCGGGCTTTTTCGTATACAGATGCACGATCTTATCTTCGGCTTTCTAATGGGGCCCCAGTGTCAAGAAATTATTCGGTCATTTCGAACTGTGAAGACGTTTCCGTGTTTCGCGGTATCTCGCATTTGGATCGTTTGGAAATTAGTATGCATCTCGTGTCGTCCAATTTTTTTTTAATTACCAACGAACGACAGATTGATAGTAATGTGATTATTCTTCGTGTGGCAACACATATAAATTGACTTGGACCACATACATATTTAACTAGTTTAGCCCGTCAGGCATTCCACTACATTTATTGTAGGAATTCTATCTCAATTAGAATAGTTTTGAAACACATTATCTATAAAATACCGGCAAGAACAATGTTCAGTTTTGTTTTAATGATTATGTGTTAATTGATTTAGAATGTTACTGTAGAAAAGAATAAACAGAGTTGACAGTTGTTTTTCTGTCAGATTATGTCGAGTTTTGATTTCAATACTTTAATTAAATCAATTTCTTGGATTTTAAAACGAATGTATACAGGTGGAAACGTTCTTGATAATTCTTTGTTAATGTGAGCACTGCTGACTTATTGAAATCAGAATGAGCAGCAGACCACGTACACATATCAAACCTTCAACCAGACAAGTCTAGGTATATGGTTAACGGCTTCAGGAGCTTAGGCCTCTTTCACTGCCTGTGACAGTTTTGACAGTATGACACAGTTCTGATCAAGACAACGGAGAGTTGAGAAGATCACTGTCATCTGTCAAGCTCTCAGTCAATTCCCAATATACCCTTTTTTGAACCGTCTAAAAATAATTAGTGTTTAACACAAGTGGGACATTTTGATGACGTTTACATGCCTGTGACAGTTTTGACAGTATGACACGGTTCTGATCGAGACAACGGAGAGTTGAGAAGATCACTGTCATCTGTCAAGCACCCAGTCAATTCCCAATATACCCTTTTTCAACCGTCTAATAATAATAATAAGTGTTCAACACAAGTGGGACATTTTGATGACGTTTACATTTTTTGTGCTGTTTCATAGTAAAATGCTCTATTAACATTTCATCAAATGCAATCAATATGCTTACCCCAATTTAGATTTGTTTCGAGAAATGTCACTTTATTTTCAGGTTGAAATTCATCAATTACACAAATGTCTTGTGTACTTTGTTTTTCCAAAATGAAATTTTACGGAGATTATGAACTTTGTGTGAATTGGATGAAATATGACGAAGTTATCAATGATGAATAGGCGATAATTATAAAATGTACGATTAGTTGAAGTATGGTGTTTTTGATATTTCATTAATATTAATATAATTATTGACATATAGAAATCCACACATTTTTGACGAAGATAGAATCTAACAGTAATGTTGATTTTCAATCTGAACACATTGAAATACTTTGTACTTATTTCTCTCTCTCAAATCCTGAACAATTTCATCGTTTTCCAACCTTTTTGCGATTATTGGTTTCCTAAAATGAGAAACTTCTTGATCTCTTATATAACTCGCAGAGCATCAAGCCAGCCTGGAGTTAATAATGGAGTGCGATAATGTATCGCTGGAAAACTCTTGAGCTTACCTTTCCTAATTACAGGCGAGCATAAAGAACCGTGAAAAGTATGCAAATTAGAGCGTTTCGTTCAATGAAACTCTCGCGCGAAGTACATGTCTAGGTGTCGTAATGCCCAGGTGCGTTCCTACATCTGGATCCGGGGTGTTTTAGGGTGTTGCCCGGAGTTGAACTCGCCACCACCCCACCTGATCAATTCTAATAACACATTCGAGATAACTTTACACGAAACGCGACGAGAAAACACCGGACATTTCCCCGAATCCGCTCATGCGGCCAACCCTGTCACTATTAACTTTTTACGATAATTGGACTAATGCGATGTTTAAGGGGCTTTATTGGTTTCGCGCGGGGTGACAGAATACCCTCGATGCATTCCAAAAGTCGCCCCGAAATTTTATTACCACGAAAACACATTTTTTCAGAACAGAATTTATGTTGTGGAATTCGCCGGTACTTGATGAAGATTCCCACATTTTTTTGTATGAGGATGAAAAAGTAGAAAGCGAAAACCTTAGCATTGAATGTGTAGAATTAGTTATTAAATCACGCCCGAGGAAGCCATTGTTTGGCGAAACACGTGTTGCGTTTTTGTAAAACTGTCTAATGAAAATCACACAATAAAGCCGATTTCATCATATAACGAAAACCTTTCTTCCCATAAGTTACTGAACTTTCGCTTTTGACGGGTTTTCTAAGAACTTTCTACCCTTGTTTCTCCACATTCGAACGTTCTGCAATAATCAAGACACTCTAATGAACAGCCTGAGTCATCGAACTTTCATTCATCCGTGAAAACTAACGCAATCTTAAACCATGACCCGCTAACATTAACCTTTTGGGGGTTTCGGTTTGATTGTATAGAAAGTGAGACCGTATTTGAAGGAAACGAAAATGATCCTCTAACAATCGTGAGGAATTATCAGACAAAAGGAAGTTCCGCAGCTGTTTCTATTATCGAATGTGGACCAATCCGTTTATTAGGTGACATTGAAAGCAACGCAAGAGGTCGATTTACTCGAACCGCTGTGTCTTCTTATTTTGGCTAAGGTTACTTTCTTGAAACTTTTCAATGCGCCGGGCCTGCTCGAAACCTATTGTTAAATTTTTTCATTGTTGTTCCCGGGGTCGAGATTGCGAAGTGACTTATTTTTGTGTGTATAGGGTGTTTCGGAACGGCAGGGGTATATTTGGAGGAAGGTTGATTGTAGTGAGATCATTTTTAAGGCTTATTTTGAATCTCTAACGAATTTTTAGGGTGGTTTTATTGAAATTGCTGATCAGGATAATGAACATATTATTGAAGAACATTTCTTAAGATTCCTGTGATAATTTTAAATACTTTTAACATGTTTCTAGTGTTTATTCGAAGCAATTTTTTTAAACCTATAAAGCATAAGTAATCAATAGCCATTGTTTATTTTACGAAATATTGATCATTGTTAATGTAACTTTCAATAAATTTAACTGCATTTCATTTTAGATTGTTCTATAAATTCTGGATCCCTGAAGCCTATTTTTCCTTTTTACATAAATAAATAACATTTCAGTTATCGAAGTTGAGGAACTTGGGGTTAGGCATCGAACACAGTTTACAAAATTCTTTCTCTGGAAAGGTTACGATAGAACTTTACATTGCCATATTAGTTTACAAGTGTCTGAGAACATATGATGTCATAATTCAACGTGACAATTACTGGAGTTTCAGAGTCAAATTTTAAACCAAGTTCTAAATACAGACATTATTTTTAAAGCAAAACTGTATTGTAAAAACATTTCGTCAAAAATTTGGGGCTATATTAGGTCGCAAACACGTGTGTCCCATCTTTATTGGGATGCATTGTTTAGAACGCGTGTTGTAGAAACTTTTCGAGCTTCGAGTCATTGACATTTAATTTCTTTACTCGCTTCATAATTCCGAGGAACAATATTTCAACTAACCCAGTGTCAAATTTAATGATATACTGTGTATAGGCGCACTTTCGAAAACAATGAAACCGAAACTAAGACTGAGCACAATGAGCACGTTATTTTCAAGTTGTATGATCGGTATCTGGCTAATATAAATTTAACTTTTATTTTAATTAAACATATTTCTTTATTGTTTCCAGCGATCGTTTATCTGTATAAAAATCTGAAATTTGAATAAAATTATTTGGCCAAACATTTGCATGGGCAAGCGTACATGTAAAGGCACTTCAGTTGAGTGGAAGAGTGTAATTGTAACCGGTTGATAATTTTCATTATTACAATCTAAAAGTTAGTAATTCTATATGTGTGTGATCGAGGGATATACAATAAATGAGGAGATATGCAATTCATTACCAACTTAGTTATCAGAAAAGAGAAGAATTATTCAATTCCCAAAAAATGAGTTTCAAATCTCTCATTCGTGATATCTCATAGTCACTAAACTGCCAAAAGATCGTTTTTCAATTTACAAAAAACTACCACTGAGTTTGTATTCTTATGGAAAAATGTCTCCCCGTTTGACCAATATTAAATTTGGAACAAAAACAACAACTTAACTAATATACTCGTGATCTGCGTCCCTGAAGTTTCGTTTCTGTTGTATCATATTGTTATGTTTTAGTTTTTAGTGACTTAGATGGAAATAATGACTTTTGTAATGAGAAGTATATGAAATTGGCCGGAAACGAAGTGTTATTATTTGTGTCGAACAAAATTCCCAGCTTTATTATCTTCCTAAACACATTTGCTGCACTAGAAAATACTGTATTTCCTCGAGAATTAAAAAGATGCTTTTAATGCAATGTCAGTGCCCTGAAGAACACCCATATTTCCTGGGATCAACGTCTTCAACACAGATATTTCACACCTGCCCATTAAGCAAATATATTCGAATATATCAGAACGATTTGTTGCGAAAACCGAAAAAGTAAAATATTCTCGAGCCGCACAATGATGGAGTCATCAAACTTCCAGGTGTTTTCTTCAACAGAAGTCGTTGTGCCCCTATATATCTTTACATTTTTTTCGATGCGAGTTCCTTGACTGAACGCCGGAGTATAAACAGCTAAGGTTAAGAAACTACGAGAACATGCCAATGTCCGAAGCTAGGCAGGTGGTTGGAGAGCGTCTTTTTGTAATCGAGGTTCCACCCTTAAACCTGTTACGACTTGAAGCTAATGTTTTTTTCTATGGGTCTCTGCTGCTTCTAGACGACCCCACATATGCCGTTAACTATTTTTTAATTCGCTCATTATTATTTGTGACAGGACCCGACGGGGCCGAAACTTGATTTTTCGGGTTGAAAAATTGATGCGACTTTTCATACAAAGGAAAGTTGCTGATGCCGAATTAATAACAAAGTACTTTGCCCTAACAGTTTCACCTATTCGATGCATATATTTTCTCTGGTAGGAGAGAGGTGACCCGTTTTCATAACGTGGCACCAGATACACAAACCTGAAGGATTGAGATTCTGCGCGTATATAAATCTACAGGGTGATCCTAGGAGGAAAGGATACTATACGCATTTCTGCTTATTTATAACCAGTCTAGCGGTAACATATTTATGTATGAGACTTAGTAAGTATTCCAAGTTAATTTTTTTATGTGATCATAGTACAAAAACCTTGTTATCTTATTCTAAACATCAAATATTTTCGGAAAAGAGTCTCAGAATCAGAATCATTTTATTCATCACAAAAAATACACATTGTGTGGTGAAAACTACAGAATATGTAACTTATCGGACTAGTCAAAAAAAAAATTTT